TTGATTTTGTGTCGAATGAGAGACCCAATGTTGGTTTCAGTTTCGTTTTAGCCTAAATGCATTTGTTTTGGCTTGTCGTTTATATTGCTATAACTTCTTATATTTTTTATTCTTGCTCTTTTCTAAATACTGTTAATTGAAAGGATTTGTTGTGGAGTGAGGGAAACTAAAATATCCTAGCTATGTTTACAGTGTTTATTATAATGTTTGTAAACATTTCGCGTCGGCATTAGGCCTATTTCTGAATGAAATAATAAAATGCGACTTATTATACGCGACTCATGTTTTTTCTCTCTCTAAAAAACACATTTTTTATACACAGTGTATTTTAACCATGCAGCAAACCTTTTTAAATATTTTGATAAATTACTGAAAATAAATAAATAAATGACTTTTTAAACCGTTTAACTGATTGTATTAATCGGTCAAAATTCTTAACGGTCGGTTAACGGTTAACCGGTTAAAATGAACATCCCTAGATCAAAAGTAAATTCCATTTTGTAAAATCATTTAGTAAGATAATTTAGATCAAAATTAGGGCTGTGCGATTTGGGGAAAATATCTAATTGCGATTTTTTTTTGACAGATATTGCTATTGCGATTTGATTTGCGATTAATTTTGCAAAGTCAAGCTTCAGCTTAACATTGTCAATAGTGTGCAGGCACAATTATAGTTTACATTAAAGCCAATATAATTCCCATTATGGGGAGTCATCTCAATTATCACCAGTAAAATATGGAGTGCATAAGGATCTGTCCTAGGTCCTCTGCTATTTTCGATATACATGTTGCCCCTTGGTAATATTATTAAAAAATACGGGATTAGTTTCCACTGTTATGCCGATGACTTTAACTGAAAAATTAGTGTTTACTATTGTCATTTTGCATTATTGACACACTATTTTCCTAATTAATGCTGTTCAGTTGCTTTGACACAATCTGTATTGTTAAAAGCGCTATATAAATAAAGGTGACTTGACTTGACTTGACATTATAACCCTTGAATCCATTAAATTTCCTATTGTGTTTTGGGAGGGGTTCTATAGTTTTTTTTTCAGCAGGGAATATTATAATGTTATTACTACTTTATAATTTATAAATAAAGAACTGTATTACTTTAGTAAATTATTAAAGTATTACATAGGTTGATTTATTCATTTTTAAGTATTTGGGATTTTAAGAACAAGTGGAAAATGTGCTGAATGTTTCATTTCATCCAAGTGAAATTAGCAAAGGGGTTAGACTGAATTTACACTTGTTTTAAAAGTGGAGCCAGGCGCGAGTTGACACAGGTTTCGCGCGTGCGTCAAGCTGTCCATATTGCCAGAAGCGTTCGTGGAGACGTGCGGTGCGGAGCTGTGCGCGAGTATAACCGATCATTACGAGACAGGCTGCGTGTGTGCGGCAAGTGTAAACGGCTCCTCCGTGAGACGCGGCAGAGAGGAGCGAGTATGAGAAGCATTCAGAGAGACAGACTGTGTGTGTGGTCTTCTGAATTGGGAATAGCGAACATGCATTATAAACTTCTTTCAAATTAGAATCTGTTGGGGAGATAAAATGTGCAAGATAACGTTCATGTACTAATAAAATCATCTAAGAATATATCTTTTAATTCTCCAGTACTGAAAGGATAACCGATAAGGGAGCTCTTGATATGTGTTGTGACACAGCTCTTGCAAATTAACGTTACATTTTTTGTTTGGTGTCTGTCATTTTGAAGCCAAAGTAATCTCATATTACATACGTTTTTCTTTAGTATTAATTTGCCTAACTATCGATCTGACTCTGTAGGCACCATAATCACACACACTCTCTTCTCCCGCTTTCTGTTTGTTTGTTTTAATGGTGGGCATTTACGCAGTTGGCTAGAGCAGTGCTGATTCGGGAAAACAGAGGTGTGCTCACTCTATTGGTTACTAAGGCTGCCACTCAAGGCTGGCACTCATGCATATAGATTGTTTGCAATCACGTGATTCTGATGACGCGCAAAATGCAGCTGGAGGGCAGGAAGTGATTTTTCTCCATAGAAATCACTAGCAGAAACTCAAAATGCCAGTGTTTTGCATTGTTTATGGATGCTCAAATCGGACAAACCGAGAAACCACAAGGAGCTTTTATCGTGTACAAAAATGTGTTGATTTATCATGGATTCCCTGCATGGACCGCCAGCAAAGTAACACATAGTAAAATTCGAGTTTTTATTTTTCGATTAATAATTACAGACTGACTATTTGTGCAATTTGTGCACATATATACATGAAAATTGGCTCTTTTGACTTAGGTCACCACTTAGCAACTGCCCAGAACACCCAGAACACCATGAGGCAGAACTTTAAAAAAGCACTTAGAACACCTTAGCAATATGGCGGCATGTTTTGTATGGGTGAAAGACCTTGTTTTTTCTGGCATCAAATGTAAACTAGTAACAGCAGAATTATACAGGAACAATAATCTAATACTGAATCTCTTTAATGCCTCAAAACCATCTGATTTAAATCTAAAAGCTGTGTATGCCACGACAAGCCAAAAAACGGAATGAAATCCGCAACACAGACGAAAAGTGATAAAATCTACCCTCATCATCTTTCCGAGTCACTGCTCCACGCGCCCAGGGATTAGAAGACAGATAAAAGTGAGGGGTGAACAAAGGGAAAAGACCTGACCTAAGATCCTCACAAACAGGACAGTTTAATCAAAATACATTTTGAATTTCCCAAAGTTTGGAGGGGGCGTGGACACCAAATAATCCACTCCCTACTGACAGCATCCAAGTTAATCTTTGTATGAGAAAATAAGCTAGCTGTCAAACCAAGACTGTACAAAACCACAAATAAGTGGTCTCTACAAACACACTGCAATCTACCTAATAACAGCTCTGACAAAATTCATATTATGACTCAAATTCATACAATGTTCAAAAACACACTCACCCCTGGTTTAGGTCGTTCTCTGTGTTGTCCAACCAGAGGCGGACGGCTACCGCGTTGCCTTCACGGCACTGAGTGAAGATGTCATCCATCTCGGCACCCTCTCTACTCTCACGCTACCGGAATCGTTCGTCCCCTACCAGGAGTGTCCTGGGAGAGGCGTCTGATGCTGCTGTACCCTAAAGACGACAGGCGAGGGTCTGACAGAACATCCAGCCACGGGAAGGGTGCGATGGGACAGTCTCTTCACAGCCTCAGGGCAAGTGTCTGGTGTCTGCGCTACACTGCAGAGAAACGACAAGTGGAAAATGTGCTGAATGTTTCATTTCATCCAAGTGAAATTAGCAAAGGGGTTAGACTGAATTTACACTTGTTTTAAAAGTGGAGCCAGGCGCGAGTTGACACAGGTTTCGCGCGTGCGTCAAGCTGTCCATATTGCCAGAAGCGTTCGTGGAGACGTGCGGTGCGGAGCTGTGCGCGAGTATAACCGATCATTACGAGACAGGCTGCGTGTGTGCGGCAAGTGTAAACGGCTCCTCCGTGAGACGCGGCAGAGAGGAGCGAGTATGAGAAGCATTCAGAGAGACAGACTGTGTGTGTGGTCTTCTGAATTGGGAATAGCGAACATGCATTATAAACTTCTTTCAAATTAGAATCTGTTGGGGAGATAAAATGTGCAAGATAACGTTCATGTACTAATAAAATCATCTAAGAATATATCTTTTAATTCTCCAGTACTGAAAGGATAACCGATAAGGGAGCTCTTGATATGTGTTGTGACACAGCTCTTGCAAATTAACGTTACATTTTTTGTTTGGTGTCTGTCATTTTGAAGCCAAAGTAATCTCATATTACATACGTTTTTCTTTAGTATTAATTTGCCTAACTATCGATCTGACTCTGTAGGCACCATAATCACACACACTCTCTTCTCCCGCTTTCTGTTTGTTTGTTTGTTTGTTTTTAATAGTGGGCGTTTACGCAGTTGGATAGAGCAGTGCTGATTGGGGAGAACGGAGGTGCACTCACTCTGTTGGTTAGTAAGGTTGCCACTCAAGGCTGGCAGTCATGCATATGCTCTGGAACAGAGTAATATCGCGTCCACATCGCAGGCTTTGCGATTCAATTTCGATTAATCGCACAGCCCTAATCAAAATAATTTCGAACTTCGTGAGGCAGACGATGACATTCTGTAACCAAATACAATCAACTTATTAACACGCTCCACAGCGCCACCCAGTGCATTTAGTTATAACTGACTTTTAGTTTGCGTGCTTAGGATTTATCATGGATTCCCTGCATGGACCGCCAGCAAAGTAACACATAGTAAAATTCGAGTTTTTATTTTTCGATTAATAATTACAGACTGACTATTTGTGCACACCCCTATCATATATACATGAAAATTGGCTCTTTTGACTTAGGTCACCACTTAGCAACTGCCCAGAACACCGTTGCAACCATGAGGCAGAACTTTAAAAAAGCACTTAGAACACCTTAGCAATATGGCGGCATGTTTTGTATGGGTGAAAGACCTTGTTTTTTCTGGCATCAAATGTAAACTAGTAACAGCAGAATTATACAGGAACAATAATCTAATACTGAATCTCTTTAATGCCTCAAAACCATCTGATTTAAATCTAAAAGCTGTGTATGCCACGACAAGCCAAAAAACGGAATGAAATCCGCAACACAGACGAAAAGTGATAAAATCTACCCTCATCATCTTTCCGAGTCACTGCTCCACGCGCCCAGGGATTAGAAGACAGATAAAAGTGAGGGGTGAACAAAGGGAAAAGACCTGACCTAAGATCCTCACAAACAGGACAGTTTAATCAAAATACATTTTGAATTTCCCAAAGTTTGGAGGGGGCGTGGACACCAAATAATCCACTCCCTACTGACAGCATCCAAGTTAATCTTTGTATGAGAAAATAAGCTAGCTGTCAAACCAAGACTGTACAAAACCACAAATAAGTGGTCTCTACAAACACACTGCAATCTACCTAATAACAGCTCTGACAAAATTCATATTATGACTCAAATTCATACAATGTTCAAAAACACACTCACCCCTGGTTTAGGTCGTTCTCTGTGTTGTCCAACCAGAGGCGGACGGCTACCGCGTTGCCTTCACGGCACTGAGTGAAGATGTCATCCATCTCGGCACCCTCTCTACTCTCACGCTACCGGAATCGTTCGTCCCCTACCAGGAGTGTCCTGGGAGAGGCGTCTGATGCTGCTGTACCCTAAAGACGACAGGCGAGGGTCTGACAGAACATCCAGCCACGGGAAGGGTGCGATGGGACAGTCTCTTCACAGCCTCAGGGCAAGTGTCTGGTGTCTGCGCTACACTGCAGAGAAACGAGAAGAAGGATCACACATCTGTCTTGAACACAGCTTGCACAAAACATACTGTCACAGTTCAGGTCACCAGGAAACAATGACTAAAACTCAAAAACACAAGTAGTTTCAAAGAACAGTTCACCAGAAATTAAAAGTTAAATTATCTATTAATTTATTCATTGTATTTATATAATTATAATTTTTCCTCAATTTTTTTTTTTTTTTTTACTATTTCCAAAGAAGACTTTATAAATTATATTTATGAACTACTAATTCATTATATTGGAAAGTACTGTTTAAAATGTATTTGTTGTAAAGAAAATACCACATGACATTTTTAGAGTCATTAAATTAAATTCAATTTTTCAAAACCACGTGAAACCAAATTAAATACCAAGAGAATAAAAAAAATGCCTTTTCTTAATAATGGACACGGTTATTTTTTTTTTAATGCTCCACAAAGGAACAGACATACATATAATATACAAGTCACACAGGTTTAGGATGACATGAGGAAGAATAAATGACAGAATTTGAATTTTTGGATAAACTATTCCTTTAATTGACCTCAAGTTTAAAGGGGTCATATGATGCGATTTAAATTTTTTCCTCTCTTTGGAGTGTTACAAACTCTTGGTGCATAAAGAAGATCTGTAAAGTTGCAAAGACTAAAGTCTCAAATCCAAAGAGATATTCTTTATAAAAGTTAAGAGTTAACCACGCCTACCTAAAACGGCTCGTTCTAACACGCCCCCACATATCTACCTCACTATGTGGGAAGATTTGCATAACGCTGCCCAAATGTTCACACAAAAAAAGGCGTAACTTTTATTCTCGCTGTAGTATTGTTCCCGCTGCCTCCATGTCGTGAAGACGCTGTGTGCTTCGTTGTGAAAGCGGAACTACTTTGTTTGGTCTTCCAAAAGAGGACGATATCCGCTTCGTCATGCCTAGAGCTGATCTGTGCTGGTCGCTGAGGGAATACATCAACTTAGTGCTGTGGATCGCCGGATCAGCTTTCACCGTGGACGAAGCGGAGTCCAGCCCGGGGTCGTCACATGTGGTTGCCGCTCCTTCGTCGAATCCGCCGGCAGCGCCGTTCTCAACCCCGCTGCCTCTGCTCACACTAGGCTGCGGTTTCTGCTCACGCTAGGCCGCCGTGTGTCTCATTGTGAAAGCGAAACTACTTTGTTTGGTCTTCCAAAAGAGGACACGACTACAAATCAGTCGTTATACGTGTTTCAAAAAGGCGGCGCATAGAGGAGAAACAATAATGTACAGTATGTGGAAAATAATGTGTTTTTTGAACTTTAAACCACATAAACACATTTCATTACACCAAATAATGTTCTTTTTAGCAGCATCATATGACCCCTTTAAGCAAAGGGTTCAAATATTTGTTCATTAAATGCTGATAGGTGATGAATACACATGTAATTATACAAGTTTTGGCCTGTTATAACACACGTATCACTCCCTAACGGAGTCAAAAACAACCCTCTGCCAACAGAATGTGTTTCTTTAATACTCTGACATCACTCCAACTCATACTTTAGTTAAGAGGTCTTCGCAAAGACCTGTCGTATTCATAAAAAACTACTTGTCTGTTTTATTAGAGAATGAAATAAAGGCTGTGTTATTAAAAAACAAAAGTGTATCTTAACTATACTTAAGAAGCTATTTCTTATATGAACTGTTATGCACTGTATATACTTTGCAGAGTGTGTTGAGATGGGATACAGGAGAGATTTTTTTCCAAAAACAGAACAAAAACAGTCAGAAAGGGAAACAACTGTGTTCACTTGGAGAAAATGACAAACAAATTAGATAAGAGAGACAAAAGCTGGCTGCTATTGATTCAGTTAAATATGCATTCGCTCGCAAAGACACTAACAGGCAAACATGATAGTTAATAATCATAGAAATAGGAAAATAATTAAACACACAGACAGACAGACAGACAGACAGGTCGATACTGAAAAAGACAGTTACATGTTTTAACAGACGACAGGTAAGATGTCAGACAGATTTTGTTTCAACTGACAGACCGACAACAAGATAGCAAAATATACTGAAAGAAATACACAGAATGAGAGACAGACAAGTAACGTTATACATGTGGACAGATTGAATGGTTCAAACAGGCAAACAGTTAGAAAGGTGTGTTTATGCATGAACAGACACAGGTGTGTTTAGACAGAGAGACAAGAAAGTGTTTAGATAGACGTGTATTCTCTCAGTAGAGTGACATTAGCCGCGCGGCTAACAGACACTCCAGTCAGAGTGAAGTGACTAACGTTAGACTCTTAACTATGGGGGAACCAAAAGAAAAAAACGTACGGTCTGAATTACAATTTACTTAATCATGCACAATGAAATGATTTTTTGACTCCACACTTTATTTATCGCTATACAACAGTAGTTTTGTACTGTTGTGAGCTAGTGCGCTAATGCTGCTAGCAGACATATACGCCCACAGTCACTGGACACACGATTCTCACACTCAATCGATCATAACAACCATCATTACCTGTTTATAAGGCCGCTTTTTAGTTGGAGTGGACCAACGGTGATGACTGGGACAGTCCAGACCGACACTCTTCCAGCGTCCACACCCTACTAGAGCCCGAGTCTGTGATCTCCTCCCCCGCCGACAGACAGACACACACTCATTCCCCGCTAATTACGCCACTGCAGCGCCCCCGGCTGGAGAGTGAAGAAAACAAGCGCCTCGGGACACGATTTTATTTCCTTCAGAATTATCCCTGGGGTTACGACTCCGTAAATCAGTGTTGGGCAGTAACTAGTTACTAGTAAATCCAACAACCCAATAATTCCTAGATTTCTTTTCATAATTTGCATGACTCGCACAGGCACATGAAGTCACCAGTGCATAAGGAAAGCTTGGAATATGGAAAAGGTTACATTCAGGGTATGGAAATATTGCCATTACACTGATTTTGTCAGGAGAAAAGCTGATCTGAACACATTATGTGTAAATTGTGGCATTACTTTGGCATTACATGGCTTGCCCACCCACATCCCTCTGATCCCGATATACATTATATTACTATAATTGAACTTATGTGATTTCCTTTGCTAAAATACTTCATGAAATACAATCATATATGGGTAACAGAAATTATAGCTACAATTAGCTTCAAGCTACACATGACAATTAATACAACACTTTTACTAAAATGCACAATATGTAATTTTCGCCGCTGGAGGGCGTGTATTCAAAATAAACAAAGAGACAAAAGGTAGTTTGATGACTCTGTGACTGAGTGTGGAATCATGGGAGTTGTGGTCTTCATCTCCACAGCCGATGCAATCCGACGGGACTCGGGCAGAAATCATGTTCATGGATGAGCTAATGATTTATTAACATAGTAGAATGAAGCAGGGTGAGGCTGAAAGCCGTAGAAGCGAAACGAGGCCGCTGAACGAGCGTGACACATGGCTCGAAAGCAGCGGAGCTTTTATTATGCCACGGTCGACCGCTTCCACTCCTTCCGGTCGTGCGTATGTGTGGGGAAAAAAAGCAGCTGTTTTATCACACTAGATACATTTGAAAGTTCTGTTATAATGCTACTCTGTGCGGTCGTCACCGGTCTATTAAAACGCACAACATATTAAAGCACTTTGGTGTTTCCATGTTTTCTACAAAACAAAACCGGAAATCGAGGCGTTATGACGTCATTGGCAGGCGACACAATGACACTATGGACACGGTCCATGTCACTAGTTAAAATTGCTTATTTCTCTGGATTTAAACATTCTTCTAAACAGTTGGGATAATATAAGTACGCAAGTCAGCAAAATATATAACACTGTTCTAGTGGTTTTTGGATATTTTAATAAAAAAATCTTACATATTGTGCCTTTAAAAGTCACTTTCAATCACCATTGAGTGTTTGTAATAACTTCTGACTGCGATTCAATGTAGATTTTGGTCAAATGATGAGGCAGAAAAATTGAATTTTGAATAATTTTATGGGGAAGATACACAATTACAACTTCTGTGGGGCGTAGTAATGCAATTACTGTTGCCAGAAAGTAATAAGTTAAGTAATAATATTACTTTCGAAATGAGTAACTAGTAACGATTAATAAATTACATTTTTGGATCAGTTTCCCCAAAATCAGCCCAAACATAGTAAATGTGCATGGTCCTTTCCTTTCGTTGCTGTTACATCAATATTAGAGCTGAATAAAGGTCTACTACACGCATAAATGCAAGTTACTACAATAAAAAAAAATTATTTTTATTAGCCACTTGTCATCAAATAATTTTATAAAATAAATATATAAATAAATAAACAACATCTATAAATTCTGGAAAATCCTGGATTATATTTATTATGATATATAATATATACAAAATATAATAATATATATAAAATATAACTATAAATATAATTAAAAAATAAAATGTTGGTTACCATGGTATATTTTAAGGGTAGACAAAAAGAGGTACAATAAATGTATTTAATGTCAGTCTTAAGCTGGTTGTAAGGTTGTTTCTAAAATCACAAATGCTTATTATTTTAAACAATATATATAAATAATTAAACAATTACTGGTATTCAAATTCACCAACAGAAAGAATTATCACCATAATAAGCATGAGTACTGTAACAAATAATAATAAATAAAATGTTAATTACAAAGTTATCTATATGCACAAAATAACTCCTTAAAAGTATCTTTTAAAAATACAGTAAAAAGAACACAAATCTTCAGTGTTGACAATAATAATTATCTAATAATTTTTTAAAATCTAATTAGGTATCATTTTTACTCATATACCATTTTAAATACACAAAACACTTATCCTAAAAAATACCAAATACAGATTTAATAATAAATAAAGTCAAATAAATTATCTTTCCATGATGCAATTTTATTAAAGACACATAGCCGGCAGTACATAGTTATTTAATGTTTTAATATTTGTATTTAAATATTTATGAAACCCATTCCATGATCAACCGTCTTAAAAGGCTTCTCTGACTTTTGGCTGTTATGACTGAATATGCAGCATAAACAAAATCTCCTAGACATATCTTCTCTGCCATGTCTCTTTTCTGCACATCGCCATCAAGATGGATTTTGGGGGCTCTGTCCTGCTCCCCTTTCAGACCGTGCTTCAGGAACTGATGTGGTTGTTACACTGCTGGGCTTCAGATTGAGTTTTTCTACTGCACTCAAGACGGGACCTCCATCTACTTTAGGTACACTAGTAGATGTTGAGATCACTGGCGATGGCGCTACTACTTCTTCTAAAGACTCATTTGTAAAGGTTTGTGCGTTGTTTGGTACTGTGGGCACATCTAACAGTGACTGTGTTTGTCCAAAAGCTGAGACATTGGTCGCTAATGAGGTCTTGATATCTGATGGATTATTAGGAGTTGAAGGTATCTGTGGGCTTTCAAGCATTGTTGTTGTGGTTTGAATGGCAGTAGATGGATTTTCTAATGCTGATGAACTTCCTTGTGCTGCAGCTTCAGCTTTAGCCACTTCTGCAGCCTTGCTCTCCATCTCCTGCATCCTTTTCTGCACCATTGCGGGCATCAGCTGCACATACGTGCCCATTAAACTGTGATTGGTCCTTATTAACTTGCCAGCACAATTGTCCACACATCGCTCCTGGAAAAACAACACAAACAAAAGACAGAAAAGAGAACATTATATAACCGTCATAGTGAATTTATGTATAATGACCAGGGTTTCTGCAGGTTTAATGGGAAACACACTATGTTATGTTCTCTTAATGTAAATGTGAGTTGTATTAGCAACACTTCAGAGATTGAAAATACAATTTCCAACTGATCTCAATCACTTTTTAATTAATTAAAACAAAAAAAAACTTAAAGGGGTCATATGATGCTTTTTTAAAGATCATTATTTTGTGTATTTGGTGTATCAGAATATGTTGACATGCTTTAATGTTCAAAAAACACATTATTTTTCAAATACTGTACATTATTGTAGGTCCTCTATGCCCCGCCTCTCTCAAACGCTTCGTTTTCTACAAAGTCCCTCCTTCCGACAAGCGCAGTCTGCTCTGATTGGCCAGCTGACCCAGTGCATTGTGATTGGCCGAACACCGCAAGCACTCGTTGGAAATGTAACACCCCTTACCATAATCGCGAGCTTCATCTTACAAAATAAATGTAAAGACAGAGCCCGAAAGGGGAACAGAGTCGCGTGACAGACACAGTGATGAAGCTGGTATGTGTTTGCAGTACACAAGCCACGGTTAAGACAGCTGACTCCACAGCTGACTCTCCCTCTCTCACGCTCGCTCTCTTGCACGCTCGCTTGCTCGCGCGCACACACACACACACGATGCGCAAAACTCCGCATTTGAACAGTCAATAGCAAATACTTAAACTAATAACAAAAAAACAGTAGCTGATTCAGAAGCGCCAGATTGTAGCAAAGTCAGAATTACCTCCTCTCCTAGGTTCACGAAACGGTCATCCATATTGAAATCGCATCATATGACCCCTTTAAGGCTAATAGCTCTGCTCCCAACCACTAGAATATGGAAAAAAAAAAAACTTTCAGTGTACTTCACACTTCTTCCTCTGTGTTTTTGTCTTGTTTTACCGTGCAAATGTCTAAAGATTCTTAAATCAAGATATATTTAGTAGAGAAGCAAAATGGCATGAAAAGATGTCTTGTTTTCTCAGAAATTGGTCAAAATGAAAACTAACTTAATTTTGTTCCATTTTTCAAGACTTCATTTTACATTTGCATCTCAAGTAATTGTATCTTGATTTAAGGATGTTTGGATATTTGTATTGGAAAACAAAAATACTGAGGAAGACATTTTTTTACAATGCATGCAACATTTAATCAGAATCAGAATCAGAAGGAGCTTTATTACCAAGTATGTTTACACACACAAGGAATTTGACTTGGCGACAGGAGCTTCCAGTATAGAAGAAAGTACACACATAGTGCAAACATACACGACACACATTGAATTACACAGTAAAGATGAAATAACACTAATATAAGAAAAACAGAAAAATAAATAATGCACTATATACAGAAATAGAAATATGTGACCCTGGACCACAAAACCAGTTAACAAACCATACCTCAATGAAAAGCTTATTTATTCAGCTTTCATGTTATGTATAAATGTCAATTTCGAAACATTGACACTTATGACTGGTTTTGTGGTCCAGGGTCACATATAGAGAAAGAAAAAACATATAATTGTTTAAATGAATGTACAGATATGTCATTTACAACTGAAGTGTACCGTTTATGTAGTTTACAATATACAATTCCAGATACTATGTATAAAAGTGTCAGTTATGATTTTCATTTGTTCAGGCTGAATATGGCCTGCGGGAAAAAACTGTTCTTATCCCTGGCTGTTCTGGTGGTCAGTGCTCTGCAGCGCCGACCAGAAGGCAACAGTTCGAAGAGAGAGTGTGCTGGGTGTGAGGGGTCCAAAGTGATTTTACATGCCCCTTTCCTCAATCTGGAGGTGTAAAGGTCTTTGTGGTTGGGCAGGGGGGAACCAATAATCCTCTCAGCAGTCCTAACTGTCCGTTAATGCCATGACTTCATGAATTCAAGTCTTTCTGCTCTGATTTAAAAACTTTTAAGGCCTTAATTAGTTGAAGAGTGAATTAATACTTTTAAAGACCTGCAGAATGACAGAAGTGA